GGGGGGGGGGGGGGGGGGGGGGGGGGGGGGGGGGGGGGGGGGGGTGCATAGAGGAGTGAGGGATGGGGAGGAAGAGGGAGAACTGGCCTTGTCCTACCACAGCCATCAGTGGTCATTGTTCAGTCCGGGGAAGGAAGGGCACAGGGAGGCTGGCCAGGATGTGGTCAGTAGAGAAGGCCGGGCCCCTCCCACCACATCCCTGCCTGGAGTCCGGCCTGTACTGTCCTATAGAGCTGCTGCGGTCACCCCCCTCTGAGGCGTCTGAGCTGGGCCACTGTCCTCCTTTGACCCCAGGCCTCCTGCACTCTTACCACCCAAACTGTGTTTGAATTCCCCAAGCCACAGCAGTAGGCGGCCTCCGGGCCGCAGAGCGCACTGACTACGGTGGGCTGCCTCACTCCATCCCTGGTCCAGCCCAGCGGGTTACAGGTCTGCGGAACTCCCTTGTGTTGCTTGTGGTTTTCTGGTGGCATTTTGTTACTTTGTTTTCACTTTTTAGATAAAATGTGGCAAACCCTAAGGCTCTGCTCTCTCCCCCTGCTCAGCGCCTTGGCTGTCCCTGTCCTCTGCCCCAGGTTAACGGGTACACACCCATCCCTGGGCTCTGCAGGGATGTCTGAGTGAGTGAGCAAGTGAGTGAGTGGGCAGCAGGCTCCTCCCACCCTACGACTAGGCTTAGGTGAGGCTGCAACCCTGCAAATCCCAAAGCTAGATTTAGGAAGCAGTTCCCAGAGTCCTAAGGAGCCCAGCAGACATGGCCGTTCCCTGAGGACAAGGGACCTCCAGGCAGGGTCATAGTCTCCTCTCTGAGGCTGTACACCTGTGACAAGGTGTGCCCTCTCCTCGATCCTGTGTTTCTTCTAAGTGGGGATACCGATTCTTTCTTCGTGGAGCTGTCAGGGCACAAAAGCTAATGCGGGCAGAAATGCTTCACAGTCCCAGACATGGGCCGACAAGGTGTGCCCTCTCCTCGATCCTGTGTTTCTTCTAAGTGGGGATACCGATTCTTTCTTCCTGGAGCTGTCAGGGCACAAAAGCTAATGCGGGCAGAAATGCTTCACAGTCCCAGACATGGGCCACTTTACTCACCCAGGAGCCCGAACTGGACCTGTGGGCTCAGAGTTAGACACAGGGAGCTGCTGAGAGCTGTGAAGTGTTGGAGTGCTCCGGCCCCTGAACACATGGGGCCTGGTCTGAACTTGGGGCCAGAGAGAGGGGAGAGTGGGGGAGGGGAGAGAATGGAAAGGAGGGAGGGGAGGGGTGGGAGAGTGGGAAGGGGAGGGGAGAAAAGGGAGAGGGGCAGCAGACAGGAGAGATCACCTGGGCCTGGGAGAAGAGGAGACACAAAGCGGGTGGAGGTGTGCAAAGACATTCTAGAAGGTTCCAAGGGTAAGAAGGAGCTGTGTTTGTGAGACTTTGATCCCAGCAGACGCGCTTCATGGGGTCTCTGGGGACTGCTGCTCTGCACAGTGGGGCAGGGGCCAGGGTGGCGCCTGAGCACTGGGCTCTGTGCCTGACCCTGGGTTTTTGCAGACAGGTCTGCATGTTTCATAGCCGCTTGTTCAGTCAGTGCTGTGGGTTTTCAAATCATTTTTTTCTGCATAGCTGGGGGGTTGGTATGACCAGAGTGGGGTGGGACTGGACTGGCCTGAGCTGGAGAAGGTAGCTCTGTGGTACCTCAGACTGGGGTACCTCAGTCCTCCTGTGGCCCCTGAGGACTTTCTCCTGCTTTGGGCTCCTGCAGGGGCACCTGCCCCACTCATACCACCTGGGATGGGCTGTGGGGCTGGCATGGGAGGCTTTGTGTCAGTGCTGGGCTGCAAACGTGCCACTTCCTGAGCGGAGACCCTCGCTGTGCCCTGCAGCATGTGTGACCCTAGCCCCCAGGGTGGGAGCGCTCACCCTTCCTACCCCTGGGCCTCACCACCTGGCTGGGGTGGAGGCCAGGGAGGAGCAGAGCTCAGAGCTGAGCTGGAGTCTGCCCAGGCCGGAGGGATGGCTCTCCCACAGCCTCACTGCGGGACTGGGAGCAGGCCGGGGGGTTTCTCTCACAAATGACTAAGAGCAGAATAGGCCATGCGGTACAGGAAAGGGCACTTGGCACAGAGGCTGTCCAAGTGGCCAGAGGCAGGTGTCATCAGGGAGATTCTCATGGGAACCCCTGTGAGGGGCTGCCCACTGCCACCAGGAGGAAAGATCAGGCTGCCCAGGGCTGTGGGCATGCGGAGCTCAGGACCCCCTCATGTCACTTATGCGTGAGGAGCCTGGCACATGCCCCTGGGGGCACTGTGGGGCAGGGGTGAGGCTGCTTCTACCCACTGGACTCCAGAGTCCACTATCGGGTGTGGACCTGCCTGCCCACCATGTGCGCACGTCCCTGCAGGGAGGCCTGTGTGTTCTTAGCAGCCTGATTTCTAATCTCCCCAAACTGGGACCCTCCCAAGTGTCTGTCAGCAGTGGGGCAGATGGTCAGCTGGGGGCGTTCATAACACGGGCTGTCACACACCATGGGCAGGAAGGATTCAAGTGCAGCGGCACATGGAGGAGGCTCGGGGACTTGGGGCAAGCAGCCAACATAGAGGCCCTCTGTGATGTCGTTCCCACCAGGTTCAAAGCAGTGGACCTCGTCTGCGCCATCAGGAGGCACCATAGCGTGTTCCCCTGGGGGGTCCTGCATGCCGTCTTGTGCCCGATCCAGGTGCAGTGACACGGGCTCAGCTTGGGAATGCTCCCCAGATGGGCTGCTGTGCCTCATCATCCCAGGACCTGCTGGGGTTTGGCCTTGTCTGAAGTCCCTGCTCCGATGGTGGGGCAGTCGGCCACTGTGGGATCTCCCTCCTCATACCTGCCCTCTGCTTTCAGGGCTACGAGGGCCTTGTGGAAGGAGGTGAGAACATCAAGCAGGCCAACTGGCTCAGCGTCTCCAACATCATCCAACTGGTGAGGCCTGCGGCCATGTACCCCTTCCTGCCCTGGGAGTGTGTGAGCACGCATGTGCACATGCAGACACATGCAGACACAGACACACACGCACACAGATATACACCCTGTCCTTCAAGGGCTCAGCTCCAGGCTGCTGAGAGGTTGTGTGATTGTGGGGTCATGGGGTCACGGGGGTTAAGGGCGCCACTGGGAGTCCTGGCGGGTCTAGGCCCAAGTTGTGGTGATCTGGACCAGGAGGCTGTGGGGTGGAGATAGGGAGGCTGCTGCTCTGCTCTAGGGGTCCCAAGATGGCACAGACCCAGGCTGGCAGGTCTCAGGAGCAGCGGGGAGGGGATGGGGCTGCCCTCACCCCAGAGCACACTAGCCTGGATGGGTAGAAGCTGACAAGCAGGGGCTGTGTGAGCTCCAGGTGGAGCTGCAGAAGGCTCCTTCCCCTCAGGGCCCTGGCCAGCTCCCTGCCTTGGTGCCCGTGTGGGGTGTGTGCACAAGCGTGCATGGGATGTGTGTATGTGCTTGCGTGTGAATGTGTGTGTGCACATCTGCCAATGCATGCGCATGTGTGCAGGTGCCTGGTGCTTTACAGTCTTCGGATCCTTCTCGCTCCATTCCCTTGCTGGAACTTCCCCAGCCCAGTGTGCAGATGACATCCATCTTCCTTGTCTTATATCCAAGGGAGAAAGGCCCAGGGAGGCGGGGATAGGCCTGGGTTTCTGGAGACACCTTGGATTTCTCCCTTTAATTCTATGGGGTTCACCAGTTCTGATGCTGCCCAGGACTGGGGTCCCTTTGGTGTCCCCCAGGTCACCTTCTGCTGGGCTGTCATTCCATCTGGAGATTCTGGTCTCTTCCATGCAGGGTGGTACTGTCATCGGCAGCGCCCGCTGCAAGGCCTTCACCACGCGGGAGGGACGCCTGGCTGCGGCCTACAACCTGGTCCAGCGTGGCATCACCAACCTGTGTGTCATTGGTGGGGATGGCAGCCTCACAGGCGCCAACATCTTCCGCAGCGAGTGGGGCAGCCTGCTGGAGGAGCTGGTGAGGGAAGGTGGGTCAGCAGCGTGGGTGGCACGCGCAACTGGGTGGCAATGGAAGTGGTGGATTCCAAGTGAGTCAGGTGTGGGTTAAAGACTTAGTTAACACATTAACATGGTTAAAATTTGGGCAACATAAGACACGACGTCCCAAGGTCATTGCTCACAAAGTGACATCTTGGAGCTTCGTCAGTGCTGGGTCACTCGTGTGGGAGACAGAGATGAGGCTGTGGCCACTCTCTGTGGGTCCCTCAAGGCCTCTCTGTTGGGGCGAAGAGTCTACACTGGCACCAGCGGTTCTGCCACCTGCTGTGTGGACCTGGGGGGAGGAGGGTGAGCCTGAGGCGCTGGGGGCCCTGCCCGGGTTGCACACTGGGTGGATGGGAGGGGAGAGGGAGGGGGAACATGGTCTCTTGCCCTGCGCGGTGGCCGAGGGAGGTGGTCGGGGCCCAGGGGCCTCAGCTAGGCCCCCTGCTTCTCCTGGCCCAGGCAGGATCTCAGAGACCACGGCTCAGACGTACTCACACCTGAACATTGCCGGGCTGGTGGGCTCCATTGACAATGACTTCTGCGGCACGGACATGACCATCGGCACGGACTCGGCCCTGCACCGCATCATGGAGGTCATCGACGCTATCACCACCACCGCCCAGAGGTAAGCCAGGCCCTCATTCAGGGTCCCTGTCCTCCCCGTGGTGGCGAGGCTGGCCTCATGGGGACGGCCACTCAGCAGGGGAATGACTTCCTCCTCAGCCTTTGGGACAGCTGCCCTAAGCCCCCTTCTGGGGGGGATGTATGGAGGTCAGTGATGGGTCACAGGGGTCAGTCCCTCCTGCCAGGTTGTGAGGGGTCTTTGCAGTGCAGCCTGGCTCTGTCAGGTGCTGCCCACCTGGGATGGTGGCCAGGCCTGGGCTCAGCAACTGGCCCTCAACCTTAGAGCAGAAGTTGGGAGCTCGGGGTGTCCTTTAGCCAGTGACACGCCTCTGGGCTAGAGGAGAAGGGCAGCTGTCCTTTGCCTGCACCCCGTCCTCTCTGTCACTCAGGCACCCCCCACAGAGCTGGGGCCACTGGGTTGGCAGGGCCCTGTGGCTGGCGAGGCCCAGCACTGATGCTTGTGCCTGTTCCGTCTCTACAGCCACCAGAGGACATTTGTGCTGGAGGTGATGGGGCGGCACTGCGGGTGAGGAGGGGCTGTCCTAGTCAGCTGGGGGTGGGTGGGGGAAGCGGCTGGGGACAGCGGTGATGGGCGCGGCACCTCTCGCGGGGTACCTGGCATGTAGCAGGTGCTCCTTGCAGGTGTGAGAGCCCGGGGCTGGAGGCAGGGGAGGGAGAAGGTGCAGCCTGGAGGGGGTGTCCCGAGCAGCCAGGCCCCGTTGCTCCTCTAGGTACCTGGCGCTGGTGTCCGCACTGGCCTCGGGGGCCGACTGGCTGTTCATCCCTGAGGCGCCCCCTGAGGACGGCTGGGAGAACTTCATGTGTGAGAGGCTGGGCGAGGTGAGTGGGCGAGGGTCCCTGCTGCAGCTGCGTGGTGGCACTGAGAGGTGGCTACCCTCGGGGACCCCAGAGAGCATCTCAGGGATTCTGAGGCTGTGGCTGACTCCTCATGGCTCACGGGCTTGACAGCAGCTGGGGTTGTCCCCTGGGGCGGTACCCAGTGAGAAGTGGGGGGCTGTGGTGCTGACCGCACGGACGCACCCTCAGTCCTGCCCCTGGTTAGCAGAGGTGGACAGGCCCACTCAGGCTACCTCCTGGGCTCAGCTCCCTGTGGTCAATGCGGGGAACAGGAGAAGCTGCCTCCTGGGAGCTGACTGCTGAGCCAGGCTGGCGGGAGTGGCCGGGACATGGAGCAGTGACCCCAGCAGGAGGGCAGCCCCTTCCAAACCCAGAGGGCAGGGCTCACGGTGGGGAGGGGGCTGGGCCCTCACCCACCAGGGGAAGGGTTTGTGCTTCAAGGGTTTGGGGCCTTGGTGGTGGGTTAAATTGGGGAGATAAGTGGTCAAAAGTGCCTGTGGCTACAGAGCAGACAGTGGGTCCTGGAGGGAGGACAGGCCGCGGCCCTGTCTCAGGAGATGAGCAGGGGCTTCCAGGTATAGGGGTTCCTAGAATGCAGCTCTCTGGGTCCCTTGGGATGGAGTTGGGGGCTGTGGCATAGAATGAGCTGACACTCTGCCCTGCGGACCCCTGAGACCACCCACCTAGGACAGGTTGGCCCCTCATCCAGGCCACCGAGTCCACTCCTGCCATCCTGTGCCCAGGCCCAAGGTTGCAGGGTGAGCCCCACAGGTCCTAGCGGCTCTGGTTCTGATCCTCTGGTTTCTGGGGTCCCAGGAGGCCTGTGTTCTTAGATTCTGTGGCCAACCTGGGGCTGGCAGAGTGTCCCTGTCCCCATGTGAAGGTGGCTTCACTCCCATCTGCTGCCGGACACTTGCTCTCCCTCCCTGTGGTGGTGCAGCCTGCCCATAGCAGCAGGAGGGACCACAGGTCATGACTTGGCTTCTGGAACCTTCCCAATGAGGCTAAGGGGCAAGGCACAGGCCTCATGTCCGAGGCCTGCGGGCCAAGAGCCCTCCCCAGTCCCTCTTGTCCCCTGCCCCCAGGAGGGTAGGCTCAGCTCCTCCCCGTGCTCCTCCAGGCCCGGGTTCCTCCTACAGAGCGGGACGGGGACGGGCAATCTCATTCTTGCTTATGTGGGTTTGGGTGTGATGGCCCTGGCCCAGGTCCTGCCCCCCAGGGACAGCTCCCAGCACCTGGTGGCAGTATCCTGGCGGCTGAGCCCTGGATGTGTCTTTGACTCAGACTCGGAGCCGAGGGTCCCGTCTGAACATCATCATCATTGCCGAGGGCGCCATTGACCGCCATGGGAAGCCCATCTCATCCAGCTACGTGAAGGACGTATGTGTCTTGACCTGCGGGTGGGGTGGGGCCAGGTCACAGGTGGCACTCCTGTGTCTCAGTCCCTGAGGGCTCCTGCTCAGGGCCCCAAGCCTGGCCCTTGCAGTGGTGGCTGGTCTTGGGTTGGCCTTGTCCTGGCTGGAGTGGGCACTGGAGGGGGCTTTCTCATCTCAGATGATAGCTCAGTGTGGATGGAGCTGCTAGGGTCTCCCAGAAGCCCCGACTCAGGCTGAACCTGGGCACTGCCTGCTCTGTGTCAGGAGCCTTACCCTCTGAATACAGTGTTCATTCAGAATGTGTTTTCTGCAGGACCAGGCCCACCCTATCCTAAAACCCACCCAGGCCCCCAACACCCTCCCAGTGACAGGGCCCAGCCCCTCAGTGACAGTGCACCCACCGTCCTGTGCTGGATTTGCAGCTGAACAGCTTGGACTGTGAGGAAGTCCTTCCTCCCTGTGACCTCTGCCCACCCTGCTGCCATCTGCCCCCAAGCCCTGGGCTCCCCCATCCTCCAGCAGGGAGCACAGCGTCAGGGCCTCCAAACCCCCTGCCTTTGACCACCCATCCTTGACCACGTCCCACCCTCTGCCAGGGCTGACCGATCTGTCAATTCCTCTGTCCACTGTGGCCCCAGAACCACAGGGGCCAGGTGGAGACTGACCAGAGGGGGCCAGAGACCATGTCTAGCAGCACTCAGGGCTACAGGCCCCGAGGACAACCCCCTACACACTTACACACAGAAACACCCCCTACACACATGCACTCACGTATACAGAAACACCCCCTACACACATGCACTCATACAGACGGCCAGAGACCATGTCTAGCAGCACTCAGGGCTACAGGCCCCGAGGACAACCCCCTACACACACACAGAAACACCCCCTACACACATGCACTCACGTATACAGAAACACCCCCTACACACATGCACTCATACAGACATATGGAACATCCCCTACACATGCACACACATGTACAAGGAAACCCCCCATATGCACTGTGATGCTGTGGGCAGCAGCTTGAGCTGCGCTGGGGACCCTAGCCTGGAACCCCTGAGGCAGGGCAGCGGATGTGGCTGGAGCCCGAGGACCCTTTCCTGACTCTCTCTCCCACTGAGCAGCTGGTGGTCCAGAGGCTGGGCTTCGACACCCGTGTGACTGTGCTGGGCCATGTGCAGAGAGGAGGGACCCCCTCGGCCTTTGACCGTGTCCTGGTAGGTGGGGTGTCACTGATCTGGGCGTGCGTGTGTGTATGTTGGTGTGTGCGTGTGTATTGGCATTTGTGTGTGTGTGGGCGTGTGGATGTGCATGTGAGTGGCGAGCATGTGTGTGTTGGTGTGTGTGTGTGTGCATGGGGGTGAGCATTTCCTTGTTGTTTTCAGTCCTCGTGGATGAGACCAGGTCCTGGCCCCTCCATTTCTCTGTGGGTGCAGAGGACCTGGGGACTACTGGAGACCTGCCCCTGTACTGGGCCTCCTTGCAGCCCCCTCCCCACCCCGTGTATTGGCAGTCAAGGCTACAGACCCTCCCTGTGGCTGGGGAGGTCCCTGGGTGACCAGAGGGCAAGGCCTGCGGGGCTCATTCTGTGGCTCAGGCCTCCCATAGTCGGCCGAGAGCTGTCTGGTTGTTCTGGGTTCTGAGTTTCCATCCTTGGTCCTTGTTGTGGCTGAGTCTTATGTTGCCCTCTGCAAAAGGGAATTCTTTTGGAGCCAAATGGAGCCAGGTCTGGGTCCAAGAAGGCCCATGGGTGGCCAAGTGACTGCATGTGGGGGCTGGTTACCCCAGGGAGCCAGGAACTGCCCTGCTTGAGAACAGATGATGCCGTGGCTGTCCCTGCAGTGTGGTGCAGCTGCTGAGGCCCATGGGTGGCCAAGTGACTGCATGTGGGGGCTGGTTACCCCAGGGAGCCAGGAACTGTCCTGCTTGAGAACAGATGATGCCGTGGCTGTCCCTGCAGTGTGGTGCAGCTGCTGTGCTGTCCTGAGCCTTCCGAGGAGACCCTTGTTGTGTGGTCTCTCCTGGCACTTGCCACAGAGCTGGACTGGGGTGCACTCTACAGTGGGGGACTCTGACACTCAGAGAGGGGCCTCACTGATCTGGCCCGCCACCTGCTGAACCCTATGCAAGGCCTCAGGTGCACTCTGACAAGCCTTTTGAGGGGCCTGGGACATCGGGGCCACGCTGGCCACCACCCAGCCTGGATGGCAGAGACACCACTGCCAAGGGCCAGATGGGCTAAGATCCCTCACTTGCAGGCTAACAGGCGGACTTGGCCAGTTTCATGGATGCTGGCAGAAGACACAAGATGCCTGGATCAGAGATGAAGCATGGCTTATTACCCACAGCTGCAGCCATCACCAGAGTGTCAGCATCTTTGTGCTGGTTCCCTGCATCCAATTCCCACAGGTGGTATGAAGAGGGCCAGGTGACACCAGCCCATACGTGGGAACCTATGAGCCATCAGCCTGGCTGCTTAGCACCGCTGTGGAGGCTATACTCACTCTTCCAGGATCGTTCCCTGAACACATATCCTGGGAAAGATGGTCCAGAACAGGAGCAGCAGGGGCATCACTAGTGAGACTTGTAGAAACCCATGGAGACTGTGGAGAATTGTCCCTGGCATCTGTGGCCCAGCAGATGCACTGGTACGTCCAGAAGGCAGGGCACCCACCACCTTGGGGCATGGAACAGGACTCAGCGACAGTAGTCTTACTTCCTGGCATGCCCGTCTGTCCCCTTGGCTGCACCAGGACTTGCGCTTGTGATTTGTCCTCAGTGAGGACAGTTCTTAGATGCTGTAACTGGCGCAGCCCGCCAGCCCATGCCCTTCATCGACACTTGGACCAGGAAAGCTGCGACACGAAGGAACTCCAAGCATAAAGAACCTTGGAGACCTGGCTCTAGCCCTCACCTGCCGCTCTCAGCCCAAGTGACAGTGGGCAAGTTGCACCCCTGCAGCCCATGTGCAGTGCCGTGCAGTGCAATTGGCCAGGCCTTCCCAGCAGGGCTGGGGGCCTTGGGAGATGTGCTGGATGGGCTGTCCTGATTACTGGTTGTACTAAGTCACCGTCTCTTGCAGTGCCAGTTGTAGAAGCTCCAGCCAGTGTGTGGGGGGCTCTGAACGCTGAGGTTTGTGCCTTTGCAGAAGGACACTGGACACGTGGTTCAGAGGGCAGAGGGGTGAACGTGTGTGTGGGTGGGGGTGAGCTGTACTGCTGAGCTGCGCCTGCCATCCCACACAGAGCAGCAAGATGGGCATGGAGGCCGTGATGGCGCTGCTGGAGGCCACACCCGACACGCCAGCCTGCGTGGTCAGCCTCTCGGGGAACCAGTCAGTACGGCTGCCCCTCATGGAATGCGTGCAGGTGGTGAGTACACAGCCCTCCCCACCTGTCTCCCTGCCACCCACCCGCATGTGTTAGGGAGCAGCGGCTCCTACCATGGCTGGCCTGGGGGATCCCAGGGCTGCAGTCCTCCAGGCAGAGGAGGGAGGGGTGGGCACATCCCCAGGTGGGACATGTGTTGAGCCCCAGGACCCGAGATGGGTATTGGAGCTGCAGGGAGCTGGGGAGCTGAGGTCACTAGTCTCCTGGAGGCAGTGGCCTTTAACTGGCCTTGAAAACCAGGCAGGGCAGGGCAGGGTGTTTGGGGTTAGGATGGGAGGGATGAGGAGGTGGACAGAGCCCAGCCTTGGGCCAGGCTCGGGCAGGTGGTGGGGGATGCTGGCCCTGGCAAGCCCTGTAACTGGGGCAGAGCATTGGGCTTCTGGGTTGGGGGATGGAGTGGTCTCCCTGACGCTTCTGGAAGAACCTCTCGCTGTGACGTCCACGGGGCCTTGCTTTGGGCTTGGCTGGGCACTGGTTGTGAGCCTGGGGGCCATATGGGCCTTGCCCTCCATTCCCAAGGTCCTGGCTGGGCTCCCAGGGGTCTGAGGCCTTGTGAGGCCCAGGGGTGCCCCTGCTGAGGGGGACCAAAGGGTGGGCCAGGTAGGGCCTGCCCGGCCTCAGCCCTGAGAGCTGGCCTTGGCAGTAACTGCTGCGCCCCAGACAGGAAACGTTGGCCAGGTCCCACTCCTGGGCCCACTGGGTGGGGGTGTGGCTGCAGGCTTGGGCCTGGCCCTCTCCCAGCCTCTCTGGCTTTTTTTCTTCAAGACCAAGGAAGTACAGAAGGCCATGGATGAGAAGAGGTTTGAGGAAGCCATTCAGCTCCGTGGCAGGTGAGGCCTCGCAGGCTGAGCCCCGTCGCTGGGCGGCTTCTGGTCTGCTCAGCCACTGTCAGGGGCCTCAGGGCCGCGGCTCCCATGCGGGACATGCAGACTTGCAGCCCAAGCCTCTCTTCAGAGCAGTCTGCAGCCAAGTGCAGTCTAAGGAGCTGGGGAGGAGGTGCGGTCACTGGGGGATGAGGAGGAAGGTGCGGGGTGGACACGAGCTGCTGGTGGGGTGGTGCCCAGGGCGCTGGGACCGGGCATGATGGGGGCGGAGGTGAGTCTGGATGACATGGTGGCCCAGTGGGGACACCGGAAAGGTGTGTGCAGATGTTTGGGATTTGGTCCTTGGGTGGCATGAGTCCTCCCCTCCTGGGTTTGGGGACTTCGTTTCCCATTGCTGCGCCCCCACCTGCTGCCGACACTGCTGATGCCCTGCAGGCTGGTTGCCGCCCCACAGGCTGGTTGCCGCCACGCGCTTTGCCGTGCGGGGGCCACAGTCTCGTGTTCTGTGGGGGTCCTGCACCTTCTATCCAAGGTGCCCAGCTGCACACTGCTGATGCCCTGCAGGCTGGTTGCCGCCCCACAGGCTGGTTGCCGCCACGCGCTTTGCTGTGCGGGGGCCACAGTCTCGTGTTCTGTGGGGGTCCTGCACCTTCTATCCAAGGTGCCCAGCTGCATGCGTGGTGGCCGTGGGGAGCGGTGCTGTGTGGTGGGGCCTGTTCCTTGGGCTGCAGGGCTGGCTGCACGCTGCATGATGGGCTTTCTTCCCAGGAGCTTCGAGAACAACTGGAACATCTACAAGCTCCTTGCCCACCAGAAACTCTCCAAGGAGAAGGTGAGGGGTGGGAGCGGCCCCTGCTGCCAGGTCTGCCGTCCACCATCTGCCCGGAGCTGTGGGCCCTTCCCTGCTGTCTGGCTCTGGGCTGTGCACCGAGACAGTCGGGCTGGGCAGAGCTGGCTGGTGCTTATCAAACAGTTGAGGAATGAAGCCAGGCCCAGAGATTTAACTCGGGAGAGGAGGGAGCCAGTGTTTACGAAGTGTCCCCAAATCACTGCAAACCTCAGGAAATGGGATCTTTCCAAACTAAGGACGATGAAAGGGCTTGTTTCTGAAATCCTGGGGATGAGGACAGGGTCCTATCAAGTCAGTCAGGGACGGTGGGGTCCTGGCTCCAGGGCCTCTGAAGCCGTGGCCATGGGGGTGGCTGACAGAGGCTGTGGGGCTGGTCGGGACAATGAGGCTGGCCTGGGAGGCTCGTCATCCTCAGTGGTCAGCTAGTGAGTGTCCCTGTTTCTTCAACCTCCTTCTCATCCCCAGAGACAGCCAGGGGTGGGCAGCACCCTCCGTGGTGGGACAATATGGTCTCTGTGTCCCCTCCCAGAAGCCAGCTGGGCTGTGACAGCCTTGGGCAGCTGGGCTGGCTTGTGGTATACCAGGACCCATGGGGCTGCACTGCCTGGGAGAGAAGCCAGGGGTGGGCAGCACCCTCCGTGGTGGGACAATATGGTCTCTGTGTCCCCTCCCAGAAACCAGCTGGGCTGTGACAGCCTTGGGCAGCTGGGCTGGCTTGTGGTATACCAGGACCCATGGGGCTGCACTGCCTGGGAGAGCCCCCAGCCACGTGGCATCGGAGTGCACTGCTGTCAGCAAGGCGTGCTGTGCGTGCCAAACGCACACCGGGTTCCAACGCCTGGGGTGGAAGCGAGGGTGGGACATGCCACTAGTAACTTCTTCCACAGTGATTCCACGCTCGAATAATAGTATCTTGCATACATTGGGTTAAATTAACCACGATACCAAAGTACATGTCACCGTTCTTTGTACTTTCTTAATGTGGCTACTAGTAAACAGGACAGCATGGCCCTGGTCCTGCCCTGGCCTTGGGGATGGGGCAACTGCTGAAGGCCACACGGCCCTGGCTTGAGCCCATGCACTGCAGCCTGCGAGCCCGGCTTGCACGCATCTCATCTGGTCTTTACCAGAATCTTCTGGAGTTAGCAAGGCAGATATTGTTATCCCTACGACTTGACGTGGTGGGCAGTGTCCAGGCTGGTATGAGGACCTGGCCCCCTTTTCCAGAACCTGCTCTCTGGTTCACTTCCTGTCTGGGTCTGAGGGCCCCTCCTGCCCCGTCTCATGCTTTTATTAATGCCTTTCTCTCTGAAGACCAGCTTCTCCCTGGCCATCCTGAACGTGGGGGCCCCGGCAGCCGGCATGAACGCAGCCGTGCGCTCGGCAGTGCGGACTGGCATCTCCCACGGCCACACAGTGTACGTCGTGCATGATGGCTTCGAAGGCCTGGCCAAGGGTCAGGTGGGTGCGGCTGCGACCGAGGGCTGGGCTGGTGCCTGCAGAGGCTGAAGCTGGTTTGTCATTTGGCTTATAACCTGCCCAGTTGCTTACCAACACAATCGGGGCCCTCTGGAGAGGGGTCAGCTACCCCGAGGTGGAAGCCGGAGGCTGGTCCATGTAGCCGCACCCACCCAGCCTGTGGCATGACGGTTGGCTCAGGCCTGCCCCTACCTGAGGAGGCATTGGTAGGAGCCTCTGCTATTCCCCTGACACCTCCTTCCTTATGGCAGGTGCAAGAGGTGAGCTGGCACGATGTGGCCGGCTGGCTGGGGCGCGGTGGCTCCATGCTGGGGACCAAGAGGTGAGTGGTGGCTGCCAGGGCAATGGGCATTAGGAGGGTGCTGCCAGGGGAAACCAGCCCTGTGGCCCTGGGCTCAGACCCCACAGAGTGGGCCTCAGACCTTCTTGGTGGGGCTTTCTCACCTGTGGGCACCTGCACAGGAGATGGCTGCTCCCCCACCAGGTGGGGCTGGGGGTGGGGGTGTGCTCGTGCTGCTCCTCACTCGGCTGAGGACATGGGCATGTTTGACAGCGTTCTTGCTAGGGCTTGGGGGGCTTCTTGTGGGCCTGTGTCCCTGTGTAGTACGTGTGGGTAGGGCCTGGTCACCCCATGTCACTATGGGGGAAGCTGCCCATTCTAAGCTGAGAGGCTGCAAGTTTTCTTCCTGCTGTCATGTGTCAAGAGAGGGAACCTTGGGCAGGAAGGGATACCTGGGCCAGACAGGGAGGCGAGGGCCCGCCCTGTCACCTGGCCGCCCACACATGGAGCCTCCGCATTTCTGTCTCTGCATGTGGGCCACACTGCTATGCTGAGGGGCATTTCAGTGACTGATTAATTGCTTAAGGGACAGCCAAAGCCTGCTTTTTCCTGCGATCAGATACAATTTGGATGCATGTCCTTGGGTGACACATGTTCACGCTGACATATCTCTGACTGCAGGACGCTGCCCAAGGGCCACATGGAGTCCATCGTGGAAAACATTCGCACCTACAACATCCACGCTCTGCTGGTCATCGGCGGGTTTGAGGTGAGGGCTGCCTCCAGGGGACAAAGCTGGGCACAGGAGACCTGAGAGCTTTCCCTGTTGGCCTGGGGCCACTGAACCCCTCCTGAAAACCCAGGGGCCAGAAGTGTGAGCACAGGCCACTGGACTGATGCAGGGGCATGAGGACCAGTGCTTTAAGTGTGGGGTTTGGCCTTGGGGAGTTTTACTGTTTTCTGAAGGCTTCAGAGGGGTCAAATCAATGCAAGGGTCAAATCAACCTGGTGCTGGTGAGAAGGGGGAGGGGGAAGAAGGGGGACCCCCAAGGGCTGGAGCAGGCGTCGAGGTGGCCCAGCCCCAGGCCCAGCGGCAGGTCAGCTGGCTGCCCCGTCCCACCGCAGGCCTACGAGGGCGTGCTGCAGCTGGTGGAGGCGCGTGGGCGCTACGAGGAGCTCTGCATCGTCATGTGCGTCATCCCGGCCACCATCAGCAACAACGTGCCCGGCACTGACTTCAGCCTAGGCTCGGACACCGCCGTCAATGCCGCCATGGAGGTGCGGGTAGCGCCTGCGCATATGGCGGGTGGGCCCCAGGAGAGCACGCAGGCAAGGGGTGGGCATGCTGCCCCACAGCCCCTCACCGGGGCCAGGTGTAGTTTAAGCTAGAAGCCTTTGCGGAGATGGGGACTGCGGTGTCCTGCTTCAATTCACAGCTCTCGATTTCTGACAAAGCTGCACATTTTGTATACTTCCACTGGCTGTTTTGTTTCTTTTGGGGAATATCTTTTCCCAGCATTTGCCCATTTTCCTACTGGCAAGGTGTGCTTTCCGTCTTATCTCCAAGGGCGCTTTCCGTGTGTGGGACAGTGGCCTGCGGCAGGTGTTGCTGACGCTTCTGCCATGTGCTCGATGTCTGTACCTAGATTTTAACCTCAGGGTTCAGATCTCAATAACCCATTTATGTTGTTTTACTTCTCAGTTTTTTCTTTAATCTCAATCTCTCCTTTTCAAACTCCGGACTTCTCACAGACAGTGTTATTAGTACCCGTTACGTAGTCATCAGCATCTGTAGGCAGGTTGCTTTCACGTGCTGCCCACCTGGTCGTCACAAGGACCCGGCAGTGGCAGACTCATCTTTAACCACATTTTGCAGACAAGAATGCTGAGGCTCAGTGCATGCCTTGCCCATCGCTGGGGATGGCCTGTTAGCAGCACCCCTGGCCTCTGCCCATTAGATGCCAGTGCCCCCTCTACCTTTGTGTGACAACCAAAAATGTCTCCAGGCTATTGTCCACTGTCTCTTGGTGGCAGAGCCACCCCTGGTTGAGAGCCCCTGAGTCTGTGTGGCCCAGGTGGGAGGTGGGCCCACGCCTGGCCCTGCCCAGGTGTAGGAGGCGATGCAGGTGCCCTGGGTGCATGTGTACATGGGGACCACCTCCTCCTGAACCTTGGCATGTGACTGTCCTGGTCACCTCTGCTCTTCAGTCAATCCAAGACATGGTTGGGGGGGGATGCCTGCAGCATAGCAGCGTCCCATGGCCCACCAGGGAGGGTGGGGACACAGGCCACTGACTGCCCCCTCGTCCCCCAGAGCTGTGACCGCATCAAGCAGTCAGCCTCGGGGACCAAGCGCCGCGTGTTCATCGTGGAGACCATGGGGGGCTACTGCGGCTACCTGGCCACAGTGACTGGCATTGCCGTGGGTGCTGATGCTGCCTACGTCTTTGAGGACCCATTCAACATCCATGACTTAAAGGTGAGCCCAGCCCTGCCCCTTACTGCTGCAGATCACCCTGGTGGGCCTGCTGGATGCCCTCCTGAGACACACACAGGGCGGGTGGCTCAGGGAGGGCCCTGGGCACACGGGCAGTGCCAAGCAGGCTGTGGGCCCTGTTGTAGTCTCAGGTGGGTGGCTGTCTTGCCTTGCCCTCTCTGCCCAGGGCTGCCCAGTTGTGCTGGCCCTGCTGTGGGTTAGTCTTGGGTCCCTTCCCTCTTGCTGCCTTCTCCTGCTCACCTGTGTCCCTCCCTCCCTGCAGGCCAACGTGGAGCACATGACGGAGAAGATGATGACAGACATCCAGAGGGGCCTAGTGCTTCGGTGAGCTGCTGCCAGCCTGGGCCACAGCTGGGACTCCCAGACCTTCAGAAGGGGCAGTGGCCACCAAAAGGCCGAGGGGGCCTGGGGAGGCTGCATGAGGCCAGGCTTTCCCGGGGGCTGCCACCCCAACCCCCAAGCCCAGTCGGTGGCCTGACCCAGTGGGGACTCAGGATTTGCGGCAAGACCTGAACCAGTTCCCGTTTAACTCAGGCCCCTGCTGTTCCTCTTCCCAGAAACGAGAAGTGCCATGAACACTACACCACGGAGTTCCTGTATAACCTGTACTCATCGGAGGGGAAGGGCATTTTCGACTGTAGGACCAACGTCCTGGGCCACCTGCAGCAGGTGCAGGGTGGGGGCGTGGATCCAGGAAGGGAGTCCCTGGGCCATGTTGGGGCTTTTGCATGTTGGGAGCCCAGCCCCTGTCCCTGCCTCCACTGGGGCCAGGGGTCCCAGGAGACACGGTGCATACATGTGCCAACACCTCATGCATTCACGCCAGGCCTTGGTCATCTGGCTGTTTGTCCCCACACATCCTGCTCCATGGTGTGGACATGGGTCCCCATCTTGCTGAAGGCTCAACCCTGGGAAAGGGGGGCTGGCACCCAAACCTGGGCAGTTGGACCCAGGTCGAGCACCTTCCCCTCCCCCAGGCTGCCCAGTTTCCTGCATCCTCCTGTGGCCACCTCCACCTCCGCCTAGTCCCCTTGGCCTCATGGCCATGTGCCTGGGGTGTTTTGAGCCCAGGGAGCAGCAGGTAGGGTGGCTGGATGTTGAGGCCCATGGTGGGACCACCACCCGCCAGGTGCAGAGGCCCCCGGGGCCACCCCATCTGGAGCCCACTGCCGGTCTCTGGAGGTGGCTTCCATGCTGGACTCCGAGGTGGAGAAAGGGGCTGGGGCCCTCCAGGCAGTGGGAACAGACTGGAAATATGTAGAGGGTAGAAGGACAGGGTTGAAGGCTCACCATCAGGTCACGACGTGGCCAAGTTGTGGCTTGAGTGCCAGCACCAGAGCCCTATCTGCATCAGGGCTGGGTGTCTTTCCTCCCACCCCCCTTTCCTGGCCTTGGGTGGCCCCCACCAGCACCAGGAACAACTCCCCACTGCTGTTTCCAGGGAGGTGCTCCAACCCCGTTTGACCGGAACTATGGGACCAAGCTAGGGGTGAAGGCCATGCTCTGGATGTCAGAGAAGCTGCGAGCCGTCTACCGCAAGGGTAGGTGGTGAGGGTGGCCCCTGAACCATGCCCTCTGTTGGGGCTTGGGGTGCGGCCTGGCCTCAGGGGCTACCACGTGTGTGTGTCCACAGGACGGGTGTTTGCCAATGCTCCAGACTCGGCCTGCGTGATCGGCCTGCAGAAGAAAGCTGTGGCCCTCAGCCCTGTCACTGAGCTCAAGAAAGACACTGACTTCGAGTAAGTTCCACCAAAGCCACCTGGAAAAGGGTGGACCGTCAGGGTGGTCAGACCTCCCCAGGGCAGGTGTGCCAGGCCTGGTTCCACTAGAACCCTGACCCCCATGAAGGTGCCTCCGCCCCCATGCCTGGGGTTTCTGCCACGCTGTGGAGAGCAGGGATCACACGCAGGTCTTCTGACCCCAGTGTGGGGCAGTGTGCAGGGTGGGACCAGCAGCAGGGGAGCCAGGACTGGCAGGCTGGGGCTGATGGGCCTCACACCTGCACTGTGTTGGGCCCCTGAGGGATGCGGACCTCAGGCATGTCCCAGACACCTCTGCTGGGCACTGCCAACATCAGGGTGTACAAAGGGAGGGCCATGTGGCCTGAGCAGCTGTGTGATCCCCAACACCCACCCCGCCCCGTAGGCACCGCATGCCCCGGGAGCAGTGGTGGCTGAACTTGCGGCTAATGCTGAAGATGCTGGCACACTACCACATCAGCATGGCTGACTATGTGTCTGGGGAGCTGGAGCACGTCACCCGCCGCACCCTAAGCATGGACAAGGGCTTCTGAGGCTGCATGTGCCTGCGCCCACCTCTCCTGGTCCCCACAACCCATGCCAGCTGCAGCTCCTGCCCCAAGGCCGGGGCTCAGATGGGGCTCGGGTCCCTCCCCAGCTGGCTGTGGGCCCTCCTCCAGGAGGATGGAACACCTCAGGGGGATGAGGGGGCCTCGTTGCTCCCAGTTTCCAGCTCCTTGGCTGCTGCTCCTTGGCCTCTGCACCCTGGGAGGCCCTCAGCCTCTCCCCTACTGGGCGTGTGCACATCAGACTGCCCCTCACCCTCACCTGCCTGTGCCCAGGTCTCATGCAGAGAAAAGACATGCTCCTGCAGGGCCACTGTGACCTGCTCCTGCTTGCACCGCCCACCGTGGCTGAGCAGCACTTGTCACTCTTCCAAGAAATAAAAGCACCTGTGGATCTGTTGGCCTCTGGAAAGCATGCCTGCAGAACCTCAGGTGGGGAGGGGTGGCTGGACCATATGGCTGACCGGGTAGACGGTAGCCCTTGGGTTGCGCTGGGCCGCACGTCCACGTGCCCTTGGAGACCATCACTCTCCAGGAGCAGCTGGAGAATGATCCTCTCCAGGGTCACCACGGTGACCTGAGCCCCTCTCTGGCCTTGCAGACCTTCAGCCCTGCCCTGAAGGTCAGAAGGGGCTGCAGTCTCTCACCTCAAGATCTTGGGAGGGTTTCTAACCCTGGCTCCTGGGCCCCCATGTCTGACCACAAACAGCCCCCCAGACTCAGCCTGGGTGGGGGCTCAGATCTACAGGCAGGTAGCTGCTTTGAGCCAGCATCCCAGAGACACCAGGGAGGGTTGGTTGGGAAGGAAGGAAGGCCCCTAGACTAGCTGCATCTCTGTGGGCCCCTCAGCGTGCACGTGAAGTCCACGAAGCTCTGCTCACAGCACAGCACGTCTGTCCCCACCACGGGGGCTGCCCCCTTGCCACACATGTGGGCTGCTCCCTGTTGGCACCATGCAGGGACTCAGGATGTGGTTTTGGGACCACAGGCTTTTCTGAGGAGACCCTGGCTTCGAAGGGCTTCTTAGGGGTCCCTGGGCAGGGTTCTCGTTGGGCCCATGCCAGTTAGGTGGCTGTAGGGGCCAGGTGGAGATCCTGGGTCCCACCCCTCCTTCCCTCAGGCCACCTTAAGGTCCCTAGGGCTCCTTGGTGGGCTGTTCCAAAGGGCAGCAGGTGTGGTAGGGTGGGCCCTAGAGCCCCAGCCTCCGGGTGGCTCACTCCTGGAGCTGGGGTCAAGGGGCCCAACACAGGCCCTTCTGGTCTGTTCTGCCTCTGGGCGTGGGGGTGGGCTGGGGAGGGGACAATCACCCGAGGAGGAAGCTCTGGATCTAGGAGGAAGCTCTGGATCTAGACTATGTCCTGAGACGAGAGACAACTAATGAGGCCCGCATGCCATGTGTGTGACTGTGCGCACCGGCTGATGGGGGGTGGGACTTAGAGGTGCCCATTCCCTAGGAGACCCTTGCTGGTATCAGGTGTCTCTGGAAGACTGGGAGCAGGAGCCACCTCCAGCTACAGAGCCATGTGCCCTCCCATTTCCCCACACATCCAAGCTGAGACCTGCCTATAGCTGGGCCAGGCCAACCTCCCCAGCATTCCAGTACCCCAACATCCCAGAGTCCCCAGCACCCAGCATCCCCTGCATTCTAGCAGCTCAGCATCCCCAACATCCATCATTCTGGAAGTCTCCTGTGTAGACAGCAGTCTGTCCCATGATAAGGATTGAAACAGCAAAACCACTGGTGAGCACTTTCCTCATCCTGCTAAGATATGCACTTACCTCAGAAAGGAACGTCAAGGCCACGTCTGCCACTTAGGAAATGTCTGCTTCCAGGGCTTGGAAAAATACTTTATTAGGGAGGACAGCCCGCAAAGCCCTACTTTAAGAAGAACCAAGTCGAGCCCAGACCCTGCCAATCACAGGAGAGTTCCCAGCCAGTCCTGGTGTGGCTGAGGCTCCTCCTAAGCCGCAGACACAGGAGCCAGGCTGATCAGCCAGTGTCTGACGCCCCTCCTGCCCTTGGCCAGTGTGGCAAACCGAGGTGGAGCCTCTCCTGGATGGGGCTGAGGCTTCCAAAGGACAATGCTGAAAGTGCAGGTGGAGGCTGGGGCCATGGCAGGCCACTACCCCCTTCCCTGGGAGCAAGGGGGAAGATGCTGGGTCTGCATGGATAGCCTGGTGGCTCCAGACCACTGGCAGTCACTCCATCTCCTCCTGTAGCTCCTGTTTGTGCAGGGCCTGCAGCCGGCTGCCCACAGTCTGGTGCACAACCTCCAGCCCCTCAGTGTCCAACTCCTTCAGCAGCAGCAGGATGGCAGTCAGGACGTTCTAGGAGCAGAGAAAGTGGCTGGCTAAGCGCCACCCTGGGCGACGCAAGGGTGTTCGCACCACAAGGGCCTGGAGGCCCCAGCCAGCAGCACCCCATCATGGAGGGCAGTCTCCAGGTTGGGGCCTTCGAGACAACCAAGCACACGGGGTATAGGGAGAGAGAATCCAAACAGGAGAAGCAGCGCTTACACTGAGTGCTGTTTCCTCTATCCAGACTCATCCAATCTCTCAGCCTGTGAGGGCCCAGGCCTACATGTTACAGAAGAGGAAACAGAGGTACAGAGAGGCCAAGAGGCCCGGGAGGGCCCAGTGTGGTGCATGGGATGTGTGTGTGTCCCAGGGTCCCGCATTGGAGGTGCTCACAGGGGCCTGGCTGGGACCCTCCCTATGTTCCAGAAGCAGGCGCACCTGTTCAGGCAGGCATGCAGGTTCGAGGTGTCTGATGTGCATTTGTGGAAGGCCCCGAGTTGGATCAATGCTGTCATCTCTGGTCCATTGTCTCCCCAGGGCTCTGCTGAGGGGCCCAGGAGAGGGAAGGTAGGGGCCGTGGGGGCGCAGAGCGGCCCCTGGGTATTGAACGTATCAGGGTTCCCGTCCTAGTGTGGGAGAACGGGCTCACACACCTGCAAGTGCATGTACAAACTGCTGAGCCGGCTCCATGAGGTCACCTTGTGGAGGAGGAAAGGAAGGTCCTGAGGGACAGTGTCTGGGAGGGGTGAGGGGAGTGGAGCAGGGCCTGGGGCGTTTGTGGTGAGGCTGACACCTTGTCCCTTCTCCTTCCTCCCTTCCCAACAAACCGGGCCAGAGGCCTGGCCAGCCTGGCTGCCCCACAACCTCAGTCTGGGGGCACATCTGTTCACCCTACGGGGGACGCTTCCCCAGGGGGTGGCACTGCTCCTCTCAGATCGGAAGCTCCCCAAGGACAGGGCCTCGGTCTCCTCTTCTCTGTACCCCCCACAAATTCTGCATTTTATGTGTTTTATGTGCATTTTATGTGTTCACTGAATAAGTGACTGAGCCTCATCTAGGGATGTCAGGAAGCCCCACCTTCTGCCTGTGGGGCCCCTCCCTTAAGAAAGGGTGTGTGTGAGCCACAGGGAGATCTGGCCAGGCTGAGGACAGCAGGTGCTGTGGTGGCTCAGGCAGCCCCTTCCCGCGTGACTCTGGGCCACGCTCACCATGAAGACCCTGTTCTCCTCGCAAAGGTCTGGCTCAGGTGAAACAGGGTAAGGCTAGGCCTGTGAACCAAACTGACTCCATTTTTCCCTGCAGAGAACACTTTGTTACTTTTTCACTTCTCAGTCAGGAGACCCCCAGGGCACATGATTACCCCGTGGCCTGCCCTGATAAAATAGACTGAGATAAGAGAGGAAACAGATACTTACTGAGTTGCAAAACCCCTCCCCAAGGCTTGTTTACCATAATTGTAAAAATTAAGTTACAGATTAACCTTAAGACCCCTTTGTGAATTCCCGCCTGCACACAAAGCTTCAAGGTGACTGCTACTATGACCCTCCTGGGGTGACAATGATGAACACCACTGCCTTCTTCGACCTACTGAGCATGCACCCATGACACAACCAGGAAGAAGGGACCACCGCCAGTGACGCTGGCCTGTACCCCTTAACTCCTTTCCCTGTAAAAGACCCTGAACAGCTTCCCTCGGGGGGACTAGCTTTAATGTTGCTACCCACCGTATATGTAAGTCTATCTCCTCTCTTAATAAAGTGTTGCTTGCTTTACTGCTGGGTACATTGTTCATTTCTATGACTTTGGAATCCAAGAGCCTAATTTAGTCACTGGTGAAAACTGGAAAGCTTTGGGCACCAGAGAAGACTCTAGCTGCCAGAGGCAAGTGGCCACTGCGACTATTTTGCTCCCACGTCTCTGCTGCTTATAAGTCTCTCCTGGAGTCCCTGGCCTAAACTCTGACACGGCAATGCTTTATTCTCTTTTACTCTCCTTTTTTCCCCTTTTCTTCCTCTTTAAAGTGACTGCCGGACAAATACAGCTTAAACTCCTCTCAACCTGTGAGAAGCTGCTCCCTCTGGCTGGCAGCAGCTTGCCCTGATGGGTAACTAGCAGGGGTGGGAAGGCCAGTCCTGCACCATGAAGACCTTGCTTAAGCAGGTTCCCCCTGACGGGGGATGCATGAGAGTGGTGGGGATTCATTCCCACCTCATGCAGTGACTGGACGTCCGGAAGCCACTAAAATTCTCTTTACCTTTCTCTGACTTTCTGAGCCCCCTTCTGCTATTTGGTTCGATCGTATCTGCTACTATGTAGGTGCACCCAGGAGGGTTCCTGGCTATGCTTTGTTCCTCTGATTTAAATCTAGTCGGCGTTTTTCTCCTTTGTGCCGACAACAGTGGGGAGAACTGCTTTTATCAATTACTATGTCAGCAGGATACTTGGCCCCGCCAATTGGGACTGGGATAAACTGGACCCCACTGCTCCTCTTTTCTCTGTTTGCTTGCTTAGACATTTAGTTGAGTACCGGTAATCTGAATAAGCCTTCCAATCCTTGCACCAACTTTTGGACTTTCAAGTCATTTGTTTAGAGCGAGAGAATGAGCTGAGCCTGGTCCGTCGGTAACACTGGCACAGGTGTGCGAGCTCAAGCATGGGCCTGCGAGCACCTCTGGCCCATGAAACAGCTGTCTGCAGGGGGTAGGGACATAGGGAAGCTGACTTATGCTGTTAGAGGACATACTTGGGAGGAAACAGCCCCTCTCCTCCTCTGGGGTGTGAATCAGGACTTGGGGGGGTAAAGAAAGAGGCTGAGGACAAGCCAGAATGTCGTGGGAACCTAGAAAGGCGCCAGGCTGCTTACTTAACCTCATTATGTCACAGTCCAGAGCCCTGGGGTCTGTCACTGGTGTTGTGCCCCCCCACTGGCTCTGTTACTGCATCAAGCCACCTTGGCCAGGCTGCTTCCCACAACTAGTGGCAAGTAGCACAGCCCTGGCAACCCTGCACGTGGTCCTGGCAATCTGTCCAAGATGTGCTGGAAGCCCCGGCACTGAGGACTGACCCAGGGCTTTCACTGCAGCTTTGGACCCTCAGCACAGGCTGTGCTGCCCGCCGGGTGTCAGGCTTTTGGGTTTCCCCTTTGCCACGCTTCACTGAAGCCAGCTCCACCGCCTCAAGTCCCTCCTGCTCTGCTCTGCCCCTTCTGGTTACCTCAACTCTGGAAACCAGGCTTATGGCCTGGGCACCACTCCCCACCCTTCAGGGCTTAGCTCTGTGACTGCCTGTCGTGTCACCAGTCCCCATCCTCCACTATTTCTGCCTTCTGGATAGAGGGACCAGCGGCCATCAGTCAGGGTGACCTCCGTCACTCACTTTGTTCTTGCAGCTGCTGGGAGCATCCCTCTGAGAGAAGGAAGGAAACCGGTCCCGGGAAGGGGCCTTCAGGACCATCTGGCTCTGGAGGCTGCTGGTGGAGGAAGAGAATGGAGGTGCATGAGGGGCCGGCACTCGGGCTCCAGTCGCCTTTGCAAGCGATGTCTGTAGGACAAATCCAGCGAGGAAGAGACCCAAGTCATGCAAATGGGCCCCATGCAAGATGCAGGGCAGGAAAGTGAGGCCGGCTACACCAGGATACTGCTGTGGCACCTGCGCATGGCGTCCCAGCACTTATTTCTCTTTCATCCTGCTGGGGCAAGCTCCCTGCAGCCCGGGGCTCCCAACTAACACCTTCCACCTGGGCCTCAGAGCGGGTGGGGGCACCAGAACACACAAGTGGCCTGCGTGAGAGCCCCTGGCCACAGGTCAGAGCTCGAGCGCTGGCCTGCAGCGTCCAGCATGGAGCTCACACCCAAACTCCCTCCTCTGCTGTAGGGACACAAGATGAGGGGATGGGGGTCAATCTGCCAAGTGGGCTCTCGGCCTGGGCCCATGCTAAGGACTTGTCTCCACAACCTGCCTGATGCTGTTCCTGCTCAGACACGGTCACAACAAGCATAAACCGCCCCGGGAGGTGCCTGAGCCACACGCCATGAGCTCTATGGGCCAGGGAGGGCCCTACCACGGGGCCCTCGAGGCTGGACAACAGCACTGGCTGGGGTCGTGTGGGCAGCTGGCCCTCCTGAGCCTGGAGTCTGCTCTGTCCCGGGGCTACATGAGCCGCTCGCTCCTTTACTCCTACCCCAGGCATGTCCGTGGTCTGACAGACACAGACCTGCTACTGAAATCAGTCCCGGAGGGCGACTGAGAGTTGCTCCCAGAGACAACAGGTAAGAAAGAATAACCACCAGGGACTCCCTCCCTCACACCCCAGAGACACAGGTCATGGCGGGACCCTCCCCTCCCGCAGCCTCACTCTGCCTCCTCCTCGCTGCAGCTCAGTGGGTCCCGGACAGGGTCAGCGGTGGAGCTGGCGCAGCTCAGCACATAAGACGGCTTGGGGCCACTGCTGTCCTCACTGCCCGGGGCAGCAGTGATATCATCTCCCTCCATCAAGGCACGGGACAGCTCCTCTTCGGTCACAGCTTTGGGGTGAAGGACAGAGGAAGCAAGAACATCAGAGTGGTCTCACCCACCCGCAGGCCACATGAACTGCGCGCCTGTCCTCACTGCAGCCTTCAGCACAGTCTGCCACCTTCTCATCCCCAGCCCTAGCACGTGCCAGACAAACAGCAGATGGCCACTGACTGCTGGTGAACCCGAATCCCAGCATCTGCTGGGGGCAATGCCTCATGAAAAGCCCAATGAAGGTAAACATAAGAGGAGCCGGCTGCACTGCATCTATTCCACTTCACTCTTGCACGACGGCGTCCCTGAAGTTCATTCATATTAAAATTGTTTGGGAGAAAACATCTGTGCCCATGTAACTGACTAGCTATACTGAAACTAGCATCCCGAGAATGCCAGTGAATTAACAAGAGAAAAAGCAGCAGCCCTGGAAACCAGTGAGCTGGAACCTGCCCTAGGAGCACACGTGGTCATGCCGCAGCACAGCACCGCCTCCAGGCTCATCAAGGAGAAGCGCTTGAAGACTTCTCCAGTGGTAGGGCACCCTCCCCGTGCTCCAGGTTCACAGCAGGCCAGTGCAGCTGAGCCACACGGTCCCCATGGACCAGCACAACGCTGCTTGGCTCTCTGGGCACTCACAGTCTCGTCACACGAGGGATGGACTCTCCAGCAGCACTGCCCTTCACAGGCACAAAGGCAGGAAGAAAGCCTCGGGCCTCTGACAGTCAGGGGGCAAGTGCACTGTGTTAAGTTCATGGAAGAGAACCCTACACCATGCTCAGGGATGAATGGGTGTGTCCAGGTGACCGAATTACAGTAACGCTTTTGAAAGGAGAAACACAAACCTGGGGAAAAGCTCCTTCAGGAGACTTTACAGAGGAAACAATTGTTGTTAAGTTCATGGAAGAGAACCCTACACCATGCTCAGGGATGAATGGGTGTGTCCAGGTGACTGAATTACAGTAACGCTTTTGAAAGGAGAAACACAAACCTGGGGAAAAGCTCCTTCAGGAGACTTTACAGAGGAAACAATTGTGTCTTATAAGACCAGGATTTTGCAGAGAAGGAACAGAGGAACAGGGTCATTTCACCAGTGCCAGTTCCAGGTCCAGGGTGACCTGTCGCCGGCTGCGGACACCCACCTTGGTTGTCCAGCTTCTGGAGGCTGGGCAGGTTGCGCAGCACAGTCATGCGGTAGTGGTGGGGGTTGGCACCACAGCACGGGTTCTCGGCCAGCCATAGCACACGCAGGTGAGGCAGGTCCTTCAGGTAGAACAGCTCGGCCAGGCTGGGGATGCAGTTCCTCCTCAGGTACAGCTCGCTCAGGTGCTGGCAGCGGCTCATGGGCTCCAGGGTGGAGACGCCATTGACGCTGCACGGTGACCAGCACAGTTAGCGACAGATGTGGCTTCTGAGGCAGGCAGGGGCTTTTAACACCACTGGTCTCAGCTCAACCATGAATACTAGAAAAAGGCCCTCATGGGCCTGTGCCCACCTGGCTCCTCCTTAGAAGTAGGTCAAAACTGGAGGTAATGGGTCAAGTTCCATGAGGACCCTGGGCTGACTGGAGCAGACTGCATCAGGGAAAGTTCCTCCGGCTTCATGCTCTGCATTTAGGCAGCCTAAGGGCTACTGTGGGAGGTTGATGGTTAAGGCCTCCCAAAGGACACATTACTGCCCCAAAGCAGACAGTGGACAGAAAAACTTATGCCCAAAATGTAAGCAAGCTCCATGTCACACAGAACTGAGCACTGGGACTTCCAAAACCCCACATTAAAAGAAAACAAAGGACACAGGTTTAATTTCTGTTCCACAGAAATGTGAACACATGAAAGAAGCAGAAACATGAGGGTGCACCAGCATAGGCCTTCAGCCACTTCCACAACCATGCGGAACCAGGCACGCAGGCAAAGGCAGCTGAGCGCCCTCCTGCCTCCTGGGGGCCAGGACCTGGGGACACCAGCCCCACCTGCAACATCCTTCCCAGAGGCTGCCTTTGTGTCAGGCAAACACCTTGTGGGGAGGTCACAGTGCTACCCGTAGGGACGCCAGGGCCACACTGAACACGTAGTTCCTGGTACCAAGGGCTGTGCTTGTATTTCACAGGAATGATTTCATTTAGCATCTGGGTAGGAGGTCACCACCATCGTACCAGGAGCAAAACTAAGGCTTCGGAATCCTTGCAGTACGGAACCCGCCCAAGGCACAGGCAGCCGGCACTGAGTGCAACCTACAGCCGCGTGGAGTACTCCTCAACCACTTCCACCCACGGGGCACTAAGACCAAAGCGAAGCGACTTCCTCTGATAAAGGACTGCCGCCCAATGGTCAAGCAGTGATTCCCACACTGTGCTGGTCCCCACTTCAGCCCAGCACAGTCAGACATCCGCCACCATGCGCCCAAGCTGTCAGCAACCTCAGTGCTGTCCTTCCTTCGAGATGTGCCCAGAATTCCTGCTGCACTTGAGGGACCTGCCCTAGACCAGCAGCACACGGCAGAGACCCCTGACTACACATTCCTGCTGTGTGGGGGAACCAGAAGCTACGCATTTGTCAGGTGAGGTTCTCTGGGGCAGGGGCTCCAATCCCAGCTTTGCTGTAATTGCAGCACAACAAAGGGAAGCCTGGTGGCCGGCGTGTGCACCTGTCACATTCCCGCACATGCCCGTGGCCCTGGCTGCACCTACTCCTCTGGCACACAAGACTCAACTCTGCCCTAACCTCACCTCACCACACAAGGCCAGCCCCTTAAATTTTATGCTCAAATCTCCACCCCAAGAGAACATGGTCCATGTGTAACATGCTCGATGCCACCCCCACATGCACGATGGCCTCCGTAAACATGCGTGACGTAAGCCAGCCCTTGCTGAGTAGGCATGTGTTCCTGCAGCTACACCCTTACAAGCCGCACCTCCCACCTGCTCGGGGAGCTGCACCCCTGCCTCACACAACCCAAACACTACTCCTTTCTGCTGAATGCTCGAACCTCAGTCTTTGTGTTTCCTTCAATATTCACAGTAGACAAGGGCCCTGCCGGTGTTCGCTCGTGTTACAGATGAGGAAACCGAGACACAGAGAGCTCAGGCAACCCACAGGTGGGAGAGCCAGGGTTCAGCCCAGGAGCATGGCTCCAAGCCTGCTTGTCCATTCATCATTTGGTAAGAAGGCACTGGCAGGATGGGCTTGTGCCTGCACTGGGGCTGCCCAGAACACAGGGTGGACTTGCCCCTTCCCCAGGATGGACACGGGGATCCAAAAGGGCCGCACCAACCTCGGAAGGTGCCGTGGAGACCAGGTGACCAGGAAGAGTTCCCGAGGATGAGGGGCCTGGGGCTGCCCAGAACACAGGGTGGACTTGCCCCTTCCCCAGGATGGACACGGGGATCCAACAGGGCCGCACCAACCTCGGAAGGTGCCGTGGAGACCAGGTGACCAGGAAGAGTTCCCGAGGATGAGGGGTTGCTCAGCCCAGTGGCTAGCCCTGTGATCAAGAAGGTAAGTCACAGCCGTCGGCAAGGTGACCCAGGGCCTAACAACAGCCACAACAGAGGGCAAGCTCTGGAACCTTCTCCCTGCCACACAGGGAGAGTCTGCCTTCCTTGCAGGGTTTAGGTCCTCGTGGGATTCAAATGTGGGACTATGGAAGCACCCACCCCGCGCCTGGAAGGCAGTGGTCAGCCACAAGGGTCGGCTCCCCCCACATCCTCCCAAACTGCCTGAATCCCAATGATGACATCTGGCTCGTTAGAGGCTTCTGTGATCTGTTAGAATGCCAGTGACTCTGGAAGAAGGAACTGTGACCAACAACAGATCCTGGGATGCAAAGAGACTGGTGAGCCGATGGAACCAGGTGGGCTGCAGGTCCCTGGGGGCAGGCGTGGCTGGGGCGAGGGTGGCCAGGATGGACTGCTGCTCACCATTAGCAGGGCTCCCCCCACCAAACGTGGCCAGTTTGTGCAGAGATGACTTCTCAGAGCATAGAGACCCAGGATGGGCAGGATATGTACCAGGGAGCTCGTGGGGGACAGGAAGCTATTACGAGGTAAGGCCCCCTGAGAGAGAAGGGGAGCGTGGCAGGAGCTGCTAGGCTCTCACTGCTCCAGGGCTCCCATGCCTCCAGAGGCCGCCCTTCCAGACCATGCTGGGGGTTTCTAGCCCATCTCATGTCACCTGGTCCTGCAAGAGGGATGTGAGGCTCTCCCCCAGCTTCCATGCCCCAGGGACTCAGAGCTGCAGTGGGAGTTAGGTACCTGAGGGTGACCACCTCCAGGCTGGGCATTTCCCGGCATATGGAAATCTAGGAAGGAAAAGCATGTGGCTGGTGAACACTGCTCAGCACTGGCGTCTTGACATCACTTCTATCGGGCCCATAGGGACGTACATTCAAGCCTCGGTCAGCTCCACTCCAGGGGCCTAAGGGGTGCGGCCTTGCTCAGCCAGGGCTCTCAGGATGGAGACCCATGGGTGCTGTGTCGTGCTCCACTGCGCAGTCTAGACATTCCCTCAGACTGGAAGAGGAGTGAGTGTGCTCACGCTCTCTGATGTGCACACAGCTCTAAAGAGTCGTCACTGTGATCTAATGCTGCCAGCTCTCGAGACAGAGCACTCACTACTTGAGATATTCTCGGAGGACATCAGGGAAGGGGACCTCTATGTCCCCTATGCTGGGAAGGAGAATCTTTCTTCTTCTTGTCCCTGAGGTACAAGGACAGGATGGAAGCCCCTTCTTGCCATCAGAGCTGGGCCAAGAGGGAGGCTGGATTGAAACCGGATCTCAGAGCACATTAATACTATTAATGGAGCGGAACAGAGCAACTTGGTGCTAGGGCTGGTCCATAAGGCTTTCATAACCTGTAAGGTTGCTGAGTGGAATGTGCCCCAAATATGTGAACCCACATATGCTGGCACGCAGCCAGGGCTTGGGGGCCAGATAGGGCCCCTGATCTCAACATGCTCATAGGGCAGTCAGAATGCCTCACACATGCCAAGGGTTTGTTTCCATGACCATGGCGTTCTTGTTTTTCTGCTGCTAAATTTGTGGTATTTCAGCTGCAGCATAAGGTAGAATGGTCCAGGCTTTTCTGGACTGGCCCAGCCACTCAGCAGCATTTTTGTTTTATTTTTAAGGAAAGGTCAGTTCAAGGAGCAAAGCAAAAGTAGATAAAGACATAAATGACTGACACGTAATCCCCGTGTAAGTTGGAGATGACTGTTCTAGGATTGAGAGAGAAAAAAAAAGAGAAAAATCTCTTCATAGACCCACAAGCTCCAGCTCCCCCACACTAGGCCCAATTTCTGCCAGCCACCGAGGTGGGGGGCATGAACTGGACCTGACCCACCCAAACCCTCCTGGCATTCCTTCCAGGTCAGAACTCTGACTCCCTCACCTCCTCTGTGAGTGGGCCCAGCAAACGATAGTGTGTTTCATTTACAGGAATGCTCACAGGAATTTCAAAATAAACTTGGGCACTACAGGAGTTTTTTCATTAGTAGTTTTGCACTACAAAAACTACTAAGTGAGCAAGGTACCAGGCCCGGGTACCTAATGGGCAGTTTTGTCAGTTCAACAACTCTCCTGGGGAAGAGGCTGCAACTTTTGGGATCAGGGCCACTTGGAGATTATCAACACGATACTTACATCTGTGAGACGGCTGCCCCTGGGAAAAGAAGAGACATACATTCTTCAGTTTTGTTAGAGTTAAATAAGAAATATGAAAAACAAAAATTCCAAAAAATGACAAATGTTTATAAACCTTAAGATTCTATACTTTAAATGACAATAATAAAAAAAGGAACGTTGACCAGATAATTGGCAAAAGTGTCAAAAATGGTTTCTTGGTTGATTTTCAACAAAACTACTTATGTTTAATGCTTGGGAGGTACTTTTCAAACTAAGGAGCAGCAGAGATTGCTCCATTTATAGGACACAAAAAGATTTACTCTTTCTCACGGTTGCTGAGCCGCAGAAAGTTAATCTCCCTCGCTGATGTGAACAAGGAAGTCTTTATAAGAGGCCAAGTCCAAAGGCTAAATATGAACAGACAAAGCAAACTGGGGAAGGCTGAAACAGGGTTGCTCTTTCTCTCTGCTCAGAGCAAAACAAAGAAACGCACTATTGAAAGACAATGACAGAAGGGAAATTGTGGCCAAAACATCATATGTGCCAAGGCAAAGCGAAAGGCTTTTTGATGAACAGTGCCAAGCCCCCACACTGCAGCCAGTGTGCAGGGGGCACTGAGAAGAGGGGTCTGCTCCTGCTGAGCCCCACTCACTCCCCACCTGCCCCGTGTGGCAGCTCACAGGGCACTTAACCTCGCTGGGTGCCCAGGGGTCACTTGCAGGTCTTCCAGGCCTCAACACCAGCTGCCTCTTGCAGTAGTTCTGGTCCTCCCGGGCCCCGCGACCCCGGCCACCAGCCCCGAGCCTACACGGACCCCACAGCTTCCCTCCGCTCCTGCCCGGACGGCGAACCAACCCCGGCAGAGATGCCCCAGCTCTGAGCTTCCCACGTGTGCGCGGAGTCGTCACTTCGTGTGCCAGCCTCTGTCCCTCCCTCTAGGCGTGACCACCGGCCTGGTCTCCTCCTTGGGTGGGCGTGACCCCGGCGGCTGCCCCCAACTTCGTCAGGCCCCCCGCAGCACAAGGGACCCGCTGTAACTCTAACTGCTCTGGCCCGGACGGCATGTTTGGAGCCCCATCCGAAAATACAGCGGCTCGGGGTCCCCGGGGCGGGCGGGCCGGGGGCGCCGTCCCCTCAGGTCCATCGCCGTCTCCCGTCCCCTCGCCGCCCTCACCAGCAGTTGAGCTTCCGCACGCTGCGCAGCTCCGAAGCCTTGGCCCGGGACAGGACCATCTTCCGCGTCAGCTTCATGGCGACCCTAGGCCCCCGCCGCCGCCCCGCGGCCCCTGCTCCCCTCGCAGGTGCTGCCCAGTGGCGCGTATCCAGGGGGTGGGGCCGCGTCGTCAGGGGCGGATCCTGCGAGCCCATTGGCGACCCGACGAGGAGGCGGGGAAGCGCAAGCGCGGTGGGGTCGCCTGCGCTTCTGCGGAGCACGTCGGTCCCGCCCGCCCCGCCCCTTGGACCGCATGCACTGACCTGCGCGTGCGGGGAGTGGGGCGCCCGGCAATGACGCATTTCTGTCGCGACCCCGGAAGCGCGCTGAGAGCCGCCCCCCTCGTTCGGGGTCGCTGATCCGGGTGGCCGGGTACGCTAAGCATGAGGACGGGGAGGCCGAGACCCGAAGGGAAGGGCCGCTCCAAGACGCCGAGCCGTGGCCCCGGGGGTGGATGGGAATGGTGTCTTCACTGCGCCTGTTTACAGCGATTTAAACTCTTGGAGTAAATCCGGGGCAGGCCTAGGGCTGCGTGGATTCGCGCCCTCTCTGCCAGCGTCTACAGAAGAGACACAGGTGCCAAAGACAGGGTCAAGCCTAACACACCTCTCAAGTATTTAAGCCTTTTAGAAATCACAAGCGACCACTTAAGTATCGCTGCCTGGGCTACACGTAACATCCAGACCCGGGTTCGGGTTCTCAGACCTGGAAGAGGTGACACAGACTCTTCCCTTCATCAAGCTTTAGTCGGGCTCCTCAGAGCCCTCTTTTTGGCTCGACCTGCCCAGCCTAGTCTTAGCAAAGAATCCTGATAAGTCATCCCTCCACTGTCCACATCTGATCACCATCCGTAAGTGATTAAGTCCCCCACATCCTAGTCTTGGTATCTAATCATCTTGACCTACCTTTACCAAGAATCCTGTGTCGAGAGGCAAAATTACAACAAACTTAGTTTAAAGATCTTACTTGGTTTTATTTGCAATTCTGGAATTGGGCAACATTTCATTCTATAAGATAGAATGAATGTTCCAGTGAACAGAGGAAGTTGAACAGTGAACAGTGAGCAGAGGAAGTTGGTTTTATAGAAAAGGGCTGAAAAGTAGAAACAAAGAGCATCGTTTCAAAGTTACTTTTCCTGTAGGATGGGAATAGGAAAAAGAACAATAGAAAAATATCTGATTGGTTAACCTTGGGTTACTTCAGGTTACTTTTTTTGTAAGCATTAAAGGCAGAGGGGAGTTCATGATCATGCCTATTGCAACTGGCCTGTTTGGGGAATTTGGCTGTCATCTCTCTCCTGATTTCTTGGAAGGCCAGATAACAACTCAGTTTCAGTTTTGATGACATGGAACTTCAGTTCGAGTGACTTCAATTTGGTTTTTAGTCTGGTCTGTTGGAACCCACTGCAGGAATTTTTTTTTTTCCTTTTTGTCTTTTTTCGTGTCCGGCAACGGATCGCAACCCTCAGTGTCGCACCCGTACCGGACCGGGACCGGCAACGGGATCGCAACCCTCGGTGCTGCGCCCACACCTTGCTCAGCCAGTGAGCGGGAACCAGTCTGCATGTGGGATCCGAACCCTCGGCGGGAGCGCCACCGCGCTCCCAAGCGTTGCACTGTAGCAGTGCGCCACCGGGCCGGCCCCCACTGCAGGAATTTTGTCCAAAACAATGGCCTCCTATAGTTTTACTTAACACCTCTTATGGCAGTATAGCAGGAAACCCCTGGCCTCGATGTCTCCTCTTAGTAGTTTTCCATCCACTGACTCCCTCACTCTGCTGCTTGGCCATAAATCCCTACTTGACTTTGCTGTATTCAGGGCTGAGTACACTCTCTTTCCCTTATTGCAATAGTCTTGAGTAAAGTCTTCCTTATTGTTGTAACAAGTGTCAGAATAATTTTTTCTGTAACAGAGGTCAAAGGTTGCTCTCCTAGGTCATCACAGCAATATCTGAAGGCTAGTGCCCCTGAGGCTGGTGGAAGACCCGCCTGTACGAGGGACCTATGCCATGACTAGGGGTCGTGATTCAGTGGCGGAGAACAGCTTGATCTTTCTCACAGTGGAATTTTGCTGTGGAGTCTCCCCATGTCACCCAGCCTCACTGTTTTTATTATAAAGACAGTATGAGGAATTCTAAAAGGAGAAACATGTTCTCACAATGGTTAACAACTGCTCCTGTTTTCTGTTTTGTCACACTTGTGTTTTGCTGGGCTATTGGGTGCTATGAGGGGGTTATCAGTCAGATTCTTGACCCAGCCTCTCACTGATGCCAGAGTGAGGTGGCCGCAAAGAAATGTTGTGTGAGCCTCCCCAGGCAACAGAGAACTGTGGAGTTACTTTTGGAGAAGGCAAGCTTACAAGCAGTGTGATACAGCTGCTCAGAGCACTCAAGTGGACACTGGCTTTAGTATCGGCCTCCTGGGGACTGGTTAGAGTCTCAGGTATTAGGGCAGGAAAAGATGGCTCTCATGTTGGAAGGCTACAGTCACTAAAAGTCAGGGTTTTGGTGGTGGCCTGCAGGTGTGCTGTGGGTCTATCACATGGAAGAAATGTACCAGGAACAGATTGGCCCAGAGGCTGGAGAATGAGGAAGGTGCTGTGCTTGGGGTAGTGTGGGTGCTAGTTAGGTTGGCATAAGACTTGGGAGGATAGAGATCCTCCAAGCAGCATATTCCAAGATCTTCACCACCAAGGAGGCAGAGAACAATCCGTACTAATGAGGCTTGACCTAAGAGAAACACAGATACAGGAGCTAGGCCCTGCCAGGAGTGAAAGGACGCTTCTGACAGGCTGAGGCTTGCAGAGGGCCTCTGGCCATCCCACTTGGGTGACCATGTCAGTTGGGCAGAGGCAAAGCAGGAGCTGCCAAGAACTGAAAAGAGCAGGCGGGAGTTGGTGGCAGCCCTCAGAACCAAGATGGTGCAGAAGTATCCCAGATATGTGGATTAGGATGCCTTTGGCAGGAGGAAGTGAGCATCCCTGAGTTGGGCAAACTCCCCCTTTTGTTCTGGGACAGACTGAGCAGGCCTGGGATGGAGTGTTGTGTGTTGTAAAAGATGCCACTAGGCTGGTAGCTGATGAGGAGATTTGCTGTTCATGCTCATCCTGGCTTTGATGCAGCTGGCCTAGGTGGTCCCTTCCCCTTCTCGTAGATGGCATAGCCACAGTGAAGGGCCAGCCCAGGTAGAGGGCAACATGTCAGGCAGGGCTGCAGGGCCGCCCCTGTTCTCCAGCATCGCTGGTCATGGTGTCTGCCCTTGCCCATCGACAGTTCCCCATGGGACAGGCCTCCCTGCAAGAGGGCTGTACCTGGAGGGTTTTCACAGGTGATGGGGCTGAGGGAGGAGAGGTCCTGCTGCAGAGATGTGGAGACCCTGAAAGTCTGGCTGGAGCAGGTTGAGGACATGGCACTTCAGGGCATATGGATTTTCTTGCACTGAGTTCCAGAAGCCCTGGACCACCCAGCAGGAAGCATCTGTTTCATGGTATTGAAGTGGAGGGTTGGCTCTGGTCAGACACCCACAGCTAAGGAGATGAGAAGGCAGTAGGTAGGGGCCTTTTCACCTCTTTAGCTGGTTTTTCACCTCTGGGTTCTTCTGGAACCCCTGCCACTCCCAGATGGCTGCTCGAGCGGGATCTTAGGGGTGTGGTGTCGTCAAAGGTCCTGACGAGTTCAGGTGACATTTGTAAAGTTAGGATTCTTCGAGTGTAAGTAGAAATGCAGTGGTTTTGGGTTTTGTTGCTGTGGCGAGGCCGAAATTTCTCAGAACTCCCTTCCCTGTATAGCTCCAGATGGTACTTGACCCAAACAGAAACTGGCATGAGATTTAGAAGGAGGAGCGACAGCCATGACCAAGAAGGCCGCCGTGGTTAGAGATGGGGCGAGGGGGATGCAGAGCGTTGGGTGGGGGGTCTTCCTCACTCTGCAGCCAGCTCTTGTTCCTGAGTGTCATCCTGCCCCCAAGAGCGACAGCCATGACCAAGAAGGCCGCCGTGGTTAGAGATGGGGCGAGGGGGATGCAGAGCATTGGGTGGGGGGGTCTTCCTCACTCTGCAGCCAGCTCTTGTTCCTGAGCGTCATCCTGCCCCCAGCAGCCACCCAGGCCACCAGCATCCCTCACAGCAGACTCACAGAGACAGCCCTGTGGTGGTCCTGTTTCTTATGTGCCCAGCTCCCCAACCTCACTGCAAGCCCCTTATGCACCTGCTTTGGGACTTGCTCCCCATTTTCCAACTTCTTCTTTTGGATTTCTCCCTCCCTCACTCTTCCCACAATTGTGTAAAGTCAAACTCCTATTATAAAATAATTTCATAATACTCATAAGGGGTTTTCTTCCCTGAAGAAACCCTAACACAGGCAGAAATGCAACCTGAACTTGCTTAAGCCAAAAATGAAACATTGACTCTCGCAACTGAGAAGCCTGGTGTGGTGGCTTTAGGTATGGATCGATCCAGGGTCTCAGACGCTGTCACCAGGGCCTGGTCTCTACCCACCTATCCCTCCAATCGCCTCCGTCCAGGTCTCTCCAGCCTCTGGCTCCAGGTGTTCATCCCAATGGCTTTAGGTCCAGCAGGAAGAATGATTTTCCCCAATTACTCAAGTCCAAGTTTGGGGATTGGCCCTGTCTGAGTCATGGGCTGTCCCTGAACCTGTCACTGTGGAATGGCCATGCTCTGTCCTGACCGCCAGGCCTGAGTCACAAGCCCAGCTCTGGAGAATGATCCAGAGAAAGATCCAAGTACTGTTCTCCCCAGAGGGGAATGGATGCGGGGGAGGAGGGGTGGCTGAGGAGGTGACAGACCCATGCCATGCCTGTTCTCTGCACAGCCTCCTCCATATCCTCCGAGCATCCCCCTCTCTGAGAGTTGCAGCAGTCAGCACCAGCACTGCCCTGGCTGTGCTCCAGGAGCCACATGTGTCTGCCCTGGGGTTGTCCTTGTGGCCCTGGCCAGAACAGGACAGTTTCTTATTCTTTTTTTTTTTAAATAATTCAGGATCTCTGAAGCACTTGCTGACTGAATCCAGACCTGATCCAGTAGGGTCATGAATTCTATTTCT